GTATTTTATGTCAAAACTTAAAACAATAATAATATCTAAGCAACAAAAAGCAATACTAAAAAAATATGCAACTTAAAACGAAAACAGTTCAATGTCGGCTATAGTTCGATCCATTGCATCCGTTCGAAACCTACAGTGTGTATATATATTAATATTTTTTATAGGAAGTCAAATGATGAAATCGCGATATAAAGTTTGGAATAAATAAAATTGGACCAAGTGCTTTTAAGAAATGGAAGCTTATCACGATATCATCATCCTGCGTTTCATACACGCTGCGACTATTTTTATTTTGTTTTCTTATGGGTTTGGTCCAATTCCACCACACTAACACTATATGCACAAGTGCTAATCATATTTTAATATTCTTCCACTTCGTATTTTATCGGTCAAATGAGTCCACCAAAGTCCATAATTAGATTTAGACTCTCTCCCTTTTTTCTCAATAAACAAAACTTGAGGTTATCAACGTGCGATAATCATCATTTTCGGTTCTATAAAGAATAATTATATGACAAAAGACAAAAATAGATTTGACAAAATTTGGCTATAAAAACTGAGTTTCAAAGAAGCCAAACACACAAGTCCTCTCTTTTACGCATCTCTCTCCCCTGAAAATATACATCACAAAAATGGCAAACTTCTCTGCCCTGCTTACGATAGCTCTCCTCCTTTGCTCCATGCTAATGTGCACCGCCCGTCCCGACCCGGCCTTTTCCGCCTCTATCACGGTTGTTCAGGTCGACCCATGTAACCTGGTTAGTCTATTCCACATGCCATGGTCAACTTCGAAACATATGCATATATACAAAAATCACGTACGTTTTAAGCATATGCAACCCGTAAATCCAAATAGAATTCCCGATCTAAGAAAAAAAAAGTTTATTACATGCAAAATTTTGAATTTTATATATATCAGAACTTCTAAATTTTAGAAAACACTTTTAAAACAGAAAACAATACAAAGAAAATTATATACGATTTTCAAATAGTTTGAGACGTCTTGCATGCAATGTATGATTAATTTGACAGGAAAAGAAAATAGAAGGAAAATTGGATGATGCGACGGAAGAGAATTGTGGTGCTGAAGACGAAGATTGCTTAATGAGGAGGTCTTTGGCTGCTCATCTTGATTATATCTATACCCAGAAGCAGAAGAAGAATCTTTGATTTTTCACTAAGTTATTTCTAACAAATTATGGCTAAAGTTTATGTAATTCATATGTTATCCTTAAATTAGTCTTTCTCATATATATAGATCATCAAGATAGTTATGGTTGTGATTAATTGTTATATAGTTATAATTACGACATCTAGCCAAAGACTGGTAATTCGGATGTATATGGCACAATTAGAAACGCATGTTTTCATAAATTCGAGCTTGGTCTATTCAGAGTACAACTATAGAACTTATCTCTCCATTAAAACTTGCTATCAGATGGTTGTTTCAGCTGCAACATTGAAGTAGCGTACACACGAAAATGATAGAAATATAAGGAAGTTTCCTTTTCTGTGTCTGCTTGGGTCACAAGTAACGTTTCGATTTCATTCACACTCCGAAGTTCAAATAT